CTTCGTCAGAGACAGCTTTGCAACGCAACCAAGGGTCACCTGCCCCCCTTTCCCTCTAACAGGTTTATTATAGCAAGAGCTTTGGTGGATTACAGCCTGCTCCTTCCTTCCTACCTCAGGCACAGCTGTTGGTTCAGGGGTGTCCGTTCCCCACATCTCTGGCTAGGCATCAAGAGTGAACATGGGTGCAAGAAGGTTCCATCTGGCCACCAAGGAGCAAAAGACGTGCAAAACAAAGGCTAAATTCCTCCCACAGCACTGGCCAGCACTCGGTCCACGGGGCTCCCAGGTGTCCGTGACGTGGACTGTGCGGCCGGTAACCAAAGAGGGGGCTCACAAAGCCCCAACGTTTCCCCACCCAAGTCTGCTCCCAATCCCTGGGCGGCCAGGCTTAAGACCACCCTCGCATCTCCTCCGCCACCTGCAACCCCTGGAGCATCGGCTGTGGCATCAGGCCTGTCAGGGACTCTGGAGCACAGGGGAAGGCCAAGCCGGCTGCCAGAGGGGAGGACTAAATTCAGGCAGCCCAGCGCACTTCCATTTTGAAAAGGCTCCTCAGCAAATGGTGCCGATCGAGCTCAGCCGACGCCAGCAGCAGCAGCAGCAGCACCGGAAGGACGAACTGGCCCAAGACGACTCCCTGATGGAGCGGAGCCAGCCTAAGCTGCCGAGCAGAATGAGGCCATCCGCGGCAGCTGATGTTTTCTTCTCTCCTGCCCCAAACTAGAGAGCTCGTCAGGGCCCGGTGGAGGAAAGAGCCCTCTTCCCTTCCTCCCCCAAAAAAGCCAGGAACGACCCCACCACCCTGCTTCCAGCCCCTCCTCCAGAGTTGCAAACATCTTCCTTATTTAGCACAAGTTGCAGAATGACTCCAGGAGGTGCCAAGAGCCTCTGAAGCCCCATCCACGGCCACCAGACCATCGCTTTCACCCCCCTCCGTGACATCAGGCCCACGGGCTAGGGTGACGCATCTTTGAGCGCCTCTCAGCCATCGCTTGGACCCCCAACATTTTATCACAAAGGGCAGCCATGTCAGTCTCGCGTTCGAGGAAATCGGCAGGTGTGGTTGAAGTCAGACTGAATTTTGAAACGGAAGGAAAACATCACTGTGGGCTCTGAGGTCGGTCACAGCCAGATACCCGGCGGGGCATTTTCACCCCGTTGCCATGTCCCCAGAGTCCCTGATCACCCACCCCCCACCCCCCATCTCAGTCTTGCCTCCAGCCAGCAAACGGAGGACGCAGGGCTCTGCCAAAACGATTCAGACAACCAGCCAAGTGAGAAAACAACGATGAGCCACATATTTTTTTGGCAGGGCTCCACACAGCAACGGGGTGTGCCCAGATCTATGGATACTTCCCAGCTTTGTCTCCTTGAAACAAATGCATCACAAACTTCAACTCACAACTGAACTACTGAGCTGGCCGGGTAGCTTTTCTTGCACACCAGCAGACAAGGGCTCCCTGGAGGGACTGGCCGGCAGCACAGAAAGGTCCCCTTCAGTTCACCACTAGGGCTGGGAAGAGAGAAGGGGGCCTCCTGGGGGGCCTCCCTCTTCGTATCAGTACCCCGAATCCCAGGGGCTGGATGGGTGCTCACACAGCCCTGCCCAAAGAATGAAGGAAGAGGCTCCACTCACTCTGGAGAGGAGGGACCAAGTCTGTGCTCCAGCCCCCTGCCCTCCTCCTCTCTCTCTCCCTCTCCCTTTCTCCTCCTCAGTCACGATCCGCAGGCAGGCAGGCAGGATGAATGCTCCACACAAGCCATGTCATAAGATGCAAAGTTATGCACGTCAAACATAGAGCAGAGCAGAGGGCTTCAGGAGTATCTTAATAAGGAGGCAGATGAAATTCCAATGGGGGATAATGGCCAGTGTGACACACATGCACATGGGGAGGGGGGCCCCACTTTTTCTTCAGCACCCTCTCCGTCAGAGTTTGGCTGCCATCAATCCAGGAAAGAGAGGGGCCAGCTTTTTTCCCCGAACCATTTATTGGGAAGGAAAAAAAAAAAGACAACTCAAGAGGCTGGAAGTGCTGAACACGGCAAACTGCCTGGAGTGGCCGGAAGATGTACAAAGTGCTCTCTACTCTTTGCAGATCAATGGAGTGTGTGTTTGTGTGTGTGTGTGTGTGCGTGCCTGCCTGCCTCCCTGCCTGCTTTGAGCAGGGCTGGTTTGGGTTTGCTCCATGGGAGAAAGAGCTAGGATACACCCACACCCAAAGTCGGGGCGCAGAGAGGGCTAACCCAAAGTCATCTTAGGAAAGCGGCATCTGTTAATTGATTTGTTGAGTGTATCTCCTGCTTTTCCTCCAACAGGCTCCAGGCCAAGCACGTGGGTCGCCTCCACCCTGCTCTGTGGCCCCAGCACAACCTAGAGCAGCCTGACATGGTTAGTCACTCAGAGAGTTTCACAGGGTGAGTGGGTAGGAGTGAAGCCCCCAGGTCCCAGTCAAGCACTTTAAACACTGCATCGCACTGCTTCTCTGCAGCAGGGAAGACTATGATGAGAGGCTCTTCTAACACCACAAATCGTTGGGGCAAGAATAATTAAAGAGAATAAGCTCTCACCCAGGAAGTTCCCAGTTCAAATTGGAACTCAGCTTCTTGGGTAGCCTCCTGTTCCCTCACCTGTGATACGTGGATAATGAGTGATTTGGCCTCCACCTTACAAGATTGTTGTAATCGTGATCTGGCCTACTGGTGAGAGCCACTGTCCTAGTGAATGTATATGAAGAGCTGGGAGTAAACCTAATCAATGCGGTAAGACCAAGGGAAGTGGCAGAAAGGATTCACTCATCCCAGCCCCCCCCCCGGCTTGCCACAAAGGACAGTAAAAACAAGGACACCATCAGTGATGACATGGCCACCAAACCTGTATCCCAAAGCAAAACGCAGAAGCCCCCTCCCCAATACAGTCTGGGAGACCTGCGGTCATCCTTCATTGGCAGTTTGTTATGAGGATCCCAGCCGTGCCACTCTCGGGTGACCATGGATGGCAGTCCTCCTGCCCCACGCCGCCCCACCCGGAGCCATGACTCCGTGGCACAATGCCCCTCGTGGGACGGGATCGCCTATGAAGGGGGCCATTGTCTGGCCTGGACTCCAGCACCACGGTCCAAAGCGGGATGGTATCCGACTGCCGTGGAACACAAAGGACTCCTTTATCCAGGCAGCCCCGGTCCACGTGGGTCTGCCCTTGAAAAAACCCTCAGAGTGGGGCTGGAGGCGGGGGAGAGGCCTGTCCACATCACATCAACCACCAGGGTTGGCAGGACCTGGAGGCCCAATACTGGCCCCGGGGGGGGGGACCCCAAGTGCCTAAGCACAGTGGCTACACTGAGCTTCCAAAGACCACCAAAGACCAGTCGCGACGGACAAAACAGGAGCTCTCCCTCCCTCACCATCCCACCGACGCGGCGTGCAAGCCTCACGGAAAGGCTCACTCCTCTGGGAAACAGGTTGCTGGGGCCGTGCTGGGAGGACGCGGAGGATGATGGCCGTAGTCCAAAGGGGTAGCATTTCCAAGTTGTGACTGGCCCCGGTGCCTGTTTGGGTCTGATCCTAATGCGCTGACAGGTATCTTTCAACCTCTGCATTGAGGGAGGGACTCGTGTTTCCACCTCTAAAACAGAAAGGCTCCCACAAGAACAGGAAGAGATTCGCCAAAGGAAAGCGAGAGCAGTCAGTCCGTCCGTCCGTCAATCAGCCAGCCCATCAATCAACCGCAAAGGGAAAACAGAGCAGCCACCTTCTTTTCTCAACCCCCCCCCCCCGTGAAACGACACTTTGAAAGAGACCGTCTCGGCATAAGAAGAACAAGGACCCCCCCACCCCACCCCCGGTGAAGAGAGGCAGACACCCAGGGCAAAGAAAAGCGAGCTGGAAACGGGACGGATCCCTCTTCTCTCTAGCAGGCGCGCCGGCCAGGGAGGAGGGAGGGAGGGATGGAGCCTGGGCTCCGGGGAGGGGGGCACAGCCTCCTTCCAGCACCCCCCCATCTCTCGCACACACAGGCGTCTGCATGGGACCCTCCCCACCCCCGCACCGCCAGCCCTACCTCCTCCAAAGGCAGTGGGGTGGGAGGAGAGGGGGCAGGCAGCCCCACACCTGCTTCGGAGCTGCTGGGGGTTTTAGTTGCAAGGATGATGAAGACTCTTGTGGTGCCTGCAAAGCTGGCAGCTGCCTCCCGGGTCCCCAGAGTCTGGTGCTGGGAGGAATCCGGGAGCGCTCCGGGTGCCCTCTGTCCCACGGGCGACGGATGGGTGGCACGAGGATTGCCCAAATGTCTTGGGGCAGCCCTGGGAGAAGATGGGGGGGAGGCCGAGAGGCGAGGAGGGCTTCAGCCCGAGTGAGGAGGCCCCCCAGATCTAAGCGCCCCCCCACACACACATCCCTTTCCCGCAAACTTCCCCGTAAACTTCCCTGTAACCTACAGACAGGCCGAAGAGCCGGGCACGGGGGGGGGGCGTGCCTTCTCCCAGCCCGGAGGCCGCTTCCTTGGGATGCCTCCCGACAGGGCCGGCCCGGAAAGAAAGCAGGGATCGCTCGATCGCTCGCTCTTTGGGGGGTCAGGAGGGGCTTTTGGCTACAAGCAGCGCCCGGCCCAGCCCNGAGGAAGCGGCGGCCGGTGATTCAGCCCCGGGGCCGCGCCTGAGTCACCACCAGAAAGCCCCAGCCCCCGAGAGGCGCAAAGCCTTGCCCAGCTTGGGGCAAAGCCGAAGAAGACGACGACGACGACGCCGCCCGGTCAGCCTCCCTCTGGAATCCCCGGGTCTGAGCCAGGGAGAGCGCGCCCCTGCCCGTGTGCCGAGCCCTCCGAGCAGCGCGCCCCGAGGGCGATCCGGGCTACCTACCCGGACGAGAACTCCTGCCAGCGGGCGACCCCTCCCGCCGCCTCCCCGCTTCCTGGATGAGCGCGAGAGAGGGATGCAGGGATGGAGAGCGAGCGAGAGAGGGATGGACGAAGAGGACGGAGGGAGGAAAGGGCCCGGACTTACCGGCGGCGAGGAGCGCAGGAGCGGCAGCGGCGGAGGCGGCGGCGCCCTCCGGGCACGGCCGGCCTTGGGCTGGGCTGAGCTGGGCAGCGGCGTCCCTTCCGATCCGCTTCTGTGCGAGCCTCGCCCGCCCGGGACCCGACGCGCCACCCGAAAGGGAGGGGAGAGGAAGGCGCGCGTTCGCACGTGACGCACTACGGAGAGGAAGGCGAAGGGAGCGCAGGCCGCCACTCGGGCCAGCCGG